CCTATGCTAAATAATCGATTATTGTCGGAGTACCTGGCCTCTCCAAGAATCGATACATTTCCATAGGTTTAAATGGAGAAAAGACAATGTTGCCGATTTGATAGATCTTCCAATGAGCATCGTGTGCTATTACGAAAGGTGTCCTTACTCAACCTATTAACAGAGTACTTACAAAACATGTATTTTCGAGAAAAATTAAGAATATTTTCCCCTGAAATTTTTAGATACTTTGGAGCACATCGTAAACAAATTTTTTGAAAAATCGAAGAAACATTTCCCTTCGTACTTACGTAAAAATGTTTATTTTATCGAAAGAATTTTTGCAACGTCTGGAGGTGCACACAGAGTTTTTCCATAGCACGACAGTGTGTAGATGGCTCTGACTTCTGAGTTGTCTCTTCTGACAACATGGTGTGGGATTGCGGCTTCGAAGCCCTCTTAGGGCAATATTTACGAGTTTTCTATCCATTGGCACTCTTTTCACGCTGACAGCTGCATAGCTTTAAAACGCACTTGTTTTCGGCATCTTCTCTCCCATCATATTTGACTCACTCAGTGTTGGAAAAAAAAGAACACAATTAGACTACATTTGGTAATAAGGGACTAACATATCTCCGGTGGATTCTAGAAACAAAATATAAGCCATTAGATTCCCTGTGCATTTAGGTAATTTTATGGATGCGCGAAACAGTAGTTCTTGTAAAATGCAATTCAATTTTGTTTTCGGTTCGAGATATCTGAAATTTCTTTAAGTTTCATGTCCTAAATTTCTTCAATTTTCATGTCCTAAATTTCTTCAATTTTCATGTCCTAAATTTCTTCAATTTTCATGCCCTCATTTTCTTCGATTTTCATGCCCTTGATTTCTATGATTTTCAAGTTGCATACGCCTAAAGAATCATTCTCAACCTTGCAATTCACAAAATTCAGAGAAATAAAAGCTGAATCCTGTTTGAAATAAAACCGCCCATTTGATACAGTTATCGATTTCTGTATCGAATGCGAGGTTTTTTTTTCCAAGCAGGATCCTGCTCTCAAGTATCAGAATTTTGCCAATTTACTTAGTTCAGAATGAATGTCCAGGCGCAGGGGCTATGGTCCTGTTTTCAGCTAAAAATTCAAAATCTGCCGAGATTTTTGACATAATCGATGCGATACATCGCGTGCCAGTTCGACCACGTCAGAAACTTTGACGAATCACCTCAACGCCTTAAACTTTAACGTCCCGTATTCCCAAATGGTTGACCTTCGTCTACCATCCACTGAATTCTTTCCTTTTAACTTCTTCCCTGTGAAGTTACTTTCTTATCAAATAACAGCATCTTTGCTTATCAAGCCCTCGTCGGAGATGAGCAATAATCAATTGGACTGCATTCTGCAATTTGGAACTATAAATTCTGGCTCATCTGGAAAAAACACTTATGTGCATAGGGAAACTCATGGCACATACGATGTTTTCAAACCGGGCCAGAATTTATAGTTCCAAATTGCAAAACGCAGTCCAATGGACCACTAGACAAGGTACGAATTTAAGCGATCTGATACATGTTTCTTAACCAGAATTTTACGTAGAAAACGATTCTCAAAACGAAAATTACGGAAACCAACTCCTAACGAAGATATTAACCTTTTTATTTCACATTGGTTACGAGGAATTTGAACTGCCCGCTCACAAGAAACTCAAAACTCTACGTGAGTCAAATCGCCCACTACAACGGTTTCAGCAAGCTTCTCAATCGAGCAATGTTCATTTCCCATCATGTGTTGTTCAAACTATTAGCAATTTGCTATAACTGAGCCAAAGCGTCAAGATTGAGGTTGCCAGATTTTTATATCGCACAGACTGTCATGATAACGTTTAGCGCGCGATGTGAATCACGCAGAGCATTGAGTTTTCATGAGCGGGTGGTTTGAATTCACGCATTAAGAATCATAAAATATCTTCGTAAGGAGTTAATTTCGGTAATTTTCGTTGTGTGCATCGTGTTTTACGTAAAATTTTGGTTAAGAAACATGTATCAGAATGCTGCAATTCGTACCTTATCTAGTGGTCCATTGGACGTATTTATGCTAAAAGGAACTATGTTGCCCGCAAACCCTCTGCACATAGTTCCTATTAGCATAAATACGTCCAATTTGACAACGCAGCTGATCAGCTCCAAGACCGAGAATATTTCACCCCACTTAAAACGATTTTATAGGTTACCTTCCTCCCACGCCTGCGTTTGCGTTCTCCGAAAGCCTTTGATTTTGTCTTAAACCAGTTCTGATATCACTCACTGTTTTACGCCGTATCCATTGGCGGTTCTACGGGGGTGCCAGTGGGTGCCAGGCACCCCCAAGCAAAAATTAAGTACGGTTATCGGAACCGTGAAATTACTGCTTTGAAAGATTCTGTATTCGCTCACTGTGAGAAAAAATCCCAGCAATTAATAGAAAATGCTCTAAACAGAATTAAAATTGATAGCCGTGCTTTACAAAGATTCCACTGTTTTTTTATGGTAAGATTGTAGTTTTGAAGGAAAGTTTTGCTAAAAATTTTCTAAATCGAATTTACAGGTATTTAAGTGGAGAGGAAGGAGAGAAAGAGAGAAAAGAGGGCAGGGAAGGGTTAAAACTTGAGGGCAGAAACTTAGGCCTACCCTGAGCGATTGTCCCCTTTGGAGCCAGTCTCCGACATTTTCCACCTCTGGGCACCCCCAAGAATGAGGGTTTAGAGCCGCCTATGGCCGTATCTATCTTCCTGCTGTGAAACTAATAAAACTCACCCCATCTTGTCTAAAGATGAGACCTCGACGTCGACCCCATGGAGGTACCTCATTAAATTCTCGCCCTCCTCGCATTGGTGACAACTACGACATCATTCACGCAGCGACAAGGCGGACTAATGCCCCCATTTATAAAATTTGATGTGTTATCAGACGCTTGCACGCCAAGTAACAACACGTTAGACTGAAGTGAATGAATCGGAACGTTGCCGCCCGTTATCGGTAATTACTGTATGATGAACTTAGGGTCATCTTGATGAACTTAGGGTCATCTTGATGAACTTAGGGTCATCTTGATGAACTTAGGGTCATCTTGATGAACTTTTTGTTCCTATAGGTAACAGCTCTCCTCCCGCCTGGGCTACCCCATAATATTTACATTATAATTAAACCGATTTTTTTCCAAATCACGTAAGTGCCATCTCTATTTTGGTGGTAGGTGGGCTGTTTCTTCTTCCTATTCTTTTTTCTTATTTTTCCTTTTTTTCTTTGGCATAATCAATCATTTGGATTGCATTTTGCAAAAAGGAACCAAGAGCATTCCAATGTCGCTAAGATTGTGCAACTTGCTTCACCTTGCAAATATAGACTGATCATTTAAACAATATATTCATCTTTACTATCAATAAACTATAAATTTATGACGGAAATTACCTTGGTAAATTCAATTTTTTGCTTGATTTCAGTGATTGTATCTCAAAGAATGTCAATTGAACAATCCTAGCAACGTTGGAATGCTCTTGGTTCCTTTTTGCAAAATGAAATCCATTTCTGATTTCAAAATATAGCCTTCTAAAAAACCATACATTTTTTGAAATTCAAAAATTGTCAACTGAGCGATAAAACGATTTTTTTTGGTGTGTTTTTCTCGCAATATCAATTTTGCACTTACCTAATTTGGAAAATAATCGGTTCAATTAGGGAAGGTTTAAGGAGATCCTTAACAAAGCATAGGACAAACTCGACGGTGTAAGTCCGCGACCACGTGTCTCGATTTGGACTACATTTTGCAATTAGGAACTATAAATTCCGGCCCGCTTTAAAAACAACGTATATGCCATTAGTTTCCCTATACACATGTGTTTTTTCAGATGAGCCGGAATTTATAGCTCCAAATTGCAAAATGCAGTCCATTTGTGACGTGGGATACTCTCTGCTATACTACGTGGGATCGCACCAAAGCGGTACAGCGTACTTTTTAAGTACTCGTAGAAAACTACTCAAAGGAGATTCTTGGAAACTGCTGTGATGTTCTTGCTCTGTGCGACGAACATTCTGCGCAATCTCCGAGGAATGATGTCGATTTGTTCTCCTTTCAAAAAATAAAATAGGGGCGGAGATTTTCAAACTCACATCGTCGAAAAATTAAAATTCAAGAATGTAATTCTGGAAATAGATATTTGTAACGATAGATCAAATAAAAACGGGGCTCCTCAACCATGATTTTAACAAACTTTAACGTAGGTAAACACAAGCCTACCATACCGACCATAGAATTGTCAACACTTTAGCATAATTCTTCCTTTTTCTTATTTTCAATTTTTTCAAAAGCAATTAGCTACCCATACTTCCGTTCTATGGGAAAACGCCGTATGAGCCTTCAGACGTTGTCATATTTTCTTCAATAAAAAACGAATTTACTCGGGAAACTCTGAATATTTTCCTCCGGTTTTTCAGGAAATTCTTTGCACAATTCAATCTAAAATATCTGTAATTTTGAAGACAAGAAATTCATAATTTCTCTCAAAAATAAATATTTTGTCGAGGGCAATTTGGCAACAGCAGAATGCTCATACGGCGTTCTTACTTACCACACAATGGAACAAAAGTCGCTTGGATCTAGAGACCAGACTCTTGAAAACAATGACAAGAAAAAATACTCTTGATTCAATCGGATTTTTGCTTGAAACAAAAAGAAATCCGCCTAAATTAAGAGGCTTGGTTCTCGGTTTAAGCAAAAATCCGAGTGAATCAAGAGTATTCTTTCTTGTCAATGTTTTCAAGAGTCTGGACTCTAGATCTGAGTGACTTTCTTCCAGTGGCACGGCAGCATAATTCATATGAGAATGTAAGGGGCCTTTTGTCCCCTCACTCACTTGCAATTATGCGAAACTTAGCAACATGCTATCCTAATTTCGCTTGCACATTATGTGCTTTGCCTCGTCAACATGTTTATAAGAACCTTATGTCACATTTGGGCAATAAAACCGTAATGTAATATTCCGAGCGCATTATCCAGGTGTCGTTAGGATCCGATCATGCTACCGCCGGGAGACAGACGACCTTCAGTTATATCATTTCCACTTGTATTATTTCTTTTACTCTTAATTTTTTGCTACTCATCGGCAGTTGACGCACAGGTAGGAAGTTCCGTTCAACAATTAGTTCCAGAACTAAAATTCATATCGTCGGTGAAACTCCCAGACCACGTATTTTATTAGCGGTGTTTTAAAATGGACGTATTTCTGTCAAACGGAACTATGTGCATTACGACATGAGTCCTAAGACCCATTAAAATATATGCATAACAGGGCTCACGTCATAATGCACATAGTTTCATTTGACAGAAGTGAAACTGCAAAGATACATATCTCAGTTGCGTTGTTTTAAAATCTTCTGTCCTATCTTGCTCCTCAAAGGCAGACCGAACCAGAATCTAACTTGACAGAAATACGTACAAATATCCCTTCCTATTTTATTTCTTTAAAGCAAGAAGAATTAGCACCATTCTAAGAAGTTTTTAAAGAATTTTCTTCGCACGGAGAAGAAAAATTAAGGGACTTTTAAAGAATAGAGAATTTGCAGGTGTCTAAAATTTGATGAATTTCGCGTTTAAGTGGAAACTACTGAGTGAACTGGACACGAGGATACCCTTGGTTCATGAATTGAACAACCATTGGAGAAGATATGTTAAAATGATCTAATCTGCTAAAATACATGCGTTTGAATGGGAAGTGCCGCCAGATGACGTCACTAGGCGGTACATTTTCTCAATTTTAAATCAATTTTTATACTATTTTCCATATCAGAAAAAAATTATAAAAAACAGCTCTTTAAGCACTTTCAGATGAAGCAATAAAAAAATTGCATGCAAAGTCTCCATTTTTTTCGTACAGAGAAGAAAAATCAAGGGAGTTTTGAAGAATTGCCGTTGAGTAGTTTTCCATCTAAAAAATAAAATATGAAAGGAAGTTTGCGACATTGCAAGTCGGGATACGTGGTTCCGGAATGTCACCATCTATATTCATGATTCGATCGTTACCTAAAATCATTGCACCAATTCTAAATTACACTACACTGAAAAATGCAGTCGTGTTCTTGAATTACTTTTAATACATGCAGGAAAAGAGTATAAACCAACCCACATATTATTCCTCTCCAACATTAACAATTTTTTGGTGGGATGCAAAAACTATTCGCTATTTAGGGCGATATTTTCGATAATCATTAAGAAGCAACATGTCAACAACACTGTGAATGCGCTGGCTCTTTTTTGCCAAATGCGATCCAACTAACCCTGGTAAAAATTGGCAGTAGAATCTGTGTTCCAAAATACCATAGAGCCACGGCCGGCTGTAAGATTTCCAATAGCTTCTATAGCCGGCTAGACAATTTCTCATATCCTTGTATAGCCGATGGCGATTAAGCAACTCACAGCCAGGCGATAAAGTGTATGCTAAACGTCACCAATTACGGATGCTAGGACTTAGTGAGTTTTTGGACCACTGCTCTCTTTTTGGGCCGTAGTATCTTGATTTATTTTGCGAGGAAAGCTCCGTTCTTTTGATGGATGCCTGCCATTCCTAATATATTAGAGCGCCTTCAGTTTCGTATGATACTGTGCAATACCTCTGGTGTGAAATAGTTGCTTCAAGCGCCGTGGCACGCTGCGGTGCGGCAGGCGGGCAGCCAGCGCGAAACGCGCATTGGCGCCTACAAACCTAACAGGGATACTTCACGCGTTGCGCAATGCGTGAAGTATCCCTGTTAGGTTTGCAGGCGCCAGTGCGTCGCCGCTCCGCTTTGTGTTAGGCTCTAATATTTAATCCGGCGGAGTCAGCATTATTCAACTCATGATTTTGAAAAGTTTGCACATCCTGTATAGATTATTCTCGTTTTAATTGATGAAAAAAAATACGTATTAAAGGAAAATATAAAGTGTGTTTTGTAAATAATAAGGTGGTACCGTATCAAACTTAATGATTTCCAAAGCACACGAATTTCTACACAATTTCTTATAGCCTTTTATAATCGATGGCGAAAAAGCAACAGCCAGGCGATAAAGTGTAAAGCCCGGCGATAGCCCAGCTGCATAATTTTTCATCGCTTCGTATGGCCCGGCCGTATGATTTTCTCCGCATTCTACAGCCAGCTATATGATTTTCTGTAGCCTTCTTTAGCCGGCTATAAGAATTCCTATGGATTTTGAAACGCAGCTCTTATCGCCAATTTTTACCAGGGAACCTTTACTTTCAAAAATAGAAGCCACCCTAGCGATGACCCCTGAGTCCCCCCTCCCCAGGTCAATCCTGCCGTGATAGCGAAGAGAGCCGTAAATGCAAAATTTTCGAAATCGAGTCTTCTTCAAAATTTGTCTAAACTCTTTCAGATGAAATTACTGAGACAGCTAAAACAGCAAAATTCATCCTAATCTAATGAAAACGAGACGTATGAAAAAGCCGTGAGTGCACAAAAAATGACATACACCGAAAAAAAAAGGATGCTGATTTAACATTCTGGATGTCAAAAAAGTGCGACAACTCACAAAACGCTGAATTAACCGCCACATAGCAGTTAGTTTTACATCTTGACATCGCTAAAGTAACTCCTGTAGCAGTTAATCCAGCATTTTGTGAGTTTTCGCACCTTTTTTACATCCAGAATGTTAAATCAGCATCCCTCTTTTTTCGGTGTAGTTTTTTTCAAGACAGCCGTAGGTGCATTACAGCCAATGGAAACAGTGCTCTCAAGAGGAATGCCGCCCTCATCTGCCGATTTCTAAGATGAAAATGTGCTTGTTGTGTGTCCAACACGCTACCACAAAAGCATGCACTACTGTCTTGCCAAATACTAACCTAACATGAAACTGAATTTTACCTTTTTCATGGACTTTAAAATAAAATCGGTCGAGTTTTCATCCCCCAAATGATTTCTAAGAGTCTATCGAATGATTGGTCGCATTTGACAAAGAACGGAGGCTTCTTTCAATAGAATGTTCCACTCAGAAGCTTCTAGGCCCATTTTCTCAAAACTTCATTTTTGCACTTACTGCTCTCTTCGCTACCCAGATGAGACAGAAATATTTAGCCAATATTTAGACAATTTTGTTTTGATATTTATGCAAACATCGGGCCATTATCGGTTAAATATTGAGCGAATGTTAAAAGTGCACACCATATTTCCTTTCGGCATAAATACTGTGCCAATACTTTGAAATACTGTGTGAATACTGTGAAAATATTTTCATAATATTTCGGGTAAACTTAATATTTTTAAAAGTACTAAATAAAGATTCTTTAAATATTTTTTTAAAAAATAATTTCGATTAAAATATCATCAAAATATTGTCAGTACTGTGTAAATATTGCGACAATATTGACAATATTTGCCCAATATTGTAAAAATATTATGCCTTATCTGGGTATCACGGCAGAGGCCGCCACCGCTTGAGACAGATTTTGATTCCAGGGACCAGGAAACGGAGGACAATCCACCGATGTGACCGGGACCCATCTGGCCGCCAGATTCGTCGCCGTCCCAGCCAGGGCACCAGTGCGTGCACCACCTCCTCCCGCACCGAAAGCCGCCCCCGCTCCACCTCCACCCCCGCCGAAACCTGCCCCAGGACCAGCTCCTCAATCCCCCGCCCCCGGAGCCAAACCCCCACCCCCTCGCCCACATGGGTCTTCCAACGTAGCTCCTGGATACCCGGGATATGTGCCTCTTCCGACCTCACCCCCGCGGCCCAAGAGCAAGAAAGGCCTTGCACTCCTCCTTGTAGGATTCGCAGCCTTATCTGCCGGCAACCTAGCCGCCAGCCAAGATCAGGCCGACGAAGATGCCAAGAAGTACCTCAAGGGGATAAAACCGCCCAAGGTATTCTGCCGCCCGACGCAAAAAAGCCGTAAACCCCATTTTACGTTTTTTGGAAACAATATATGGACCGCGTTAAACAGAAAGGAACCAAGCCACATCAGCTATTGCCAAATTGAATTGGGCAATTTAATTTTTTACCTGAAAACGGTTGTGCGGATTTTTCTGCAAATTTTAGTGAATTTTCTGAGTAGTACGAAGTAAATTCCTCAAAAATGTCAAAAGAATCCGCAAAATCGTTCTCTTGTAAACAATTGAATTGCTCTATTAAATTTGGCAATAGCTGATGTGGCTTGGTTCCTTTCTGTTTAACGCAATCCATATCATAGCAAAAAAGCGTGTGTACTCTGGGGCAATGTTTTTACAGAATGGAGATGTTGCATGTGTGAGGGATTTGCGATTTGACTGTTGATTCTAATGTAAAAGTTCGGGAGAAACACGATGGTGCCACTGGTTTTCTCTGAAATTATCTTCCAAGCTCAAAAAAAGCTCTCAAGTTGAGGACAAAATGGAGGGGATATCCCACGCTATCCTGAGAGTCCATCTTTACATCAAGACGAACTCTCCATGCAAAGATAGGGAGTAAATACATTAGCAGTGATGCCGTGTTTTCAGTTTTAGAGTCCCCAAATAAAGTGGCAGCCCTGTCAATGTATTTGCTCCCTATCTTTTCATGGAGAGTTTGTCTTGATGTAGAGATGGACTCTCAGGATAGCGTGGGATATCCCCGCCATTTTGGCCTCAACTTGAGAGCTTTTTATGAACTTGGGAGTTGATTTTAGAGAAAACCAGTGGAACCATCATGTTTTTCGAGAACTTTAACGTAAGACTCAATGGTAAAATCGCAAATTGCTCACACGTGCAACATCTTCATTCTCTGGCAAATACTATCAAGAACTTAGCCTGAAAATTTGAGGTGCATGGGTAAAACAATTTTTATTTAAAACGTGTTACACGGAGAAAAAAAAACTTCGTGCATGGGACCCGAAGTTGAGGTCATATGGATCTCAGAAGTTTTCTGATCCCGCATCCGAAAACTTGAGGTCGAGCTGCCGAAGTTTGGGTCAGACATCGAGGCACTTTGGTATGCACCAGAGTACTTCAGATGTGTGACCCGAACCCTTCGGTATATATCGAAGTACTTCAGATGTATGACCCGAACTTCGGCAGCTCGACCTCCAGTTCTTAGATACGTGATCCGAAAACTTCAGAGATCCATACGACCTCAACTTTGGGTCCCACGCACGAAGTTTTTTTCTCCATGAAGTCCCAAAAACGAGGGGGAAATCATGATGTATCGCGATTTGACCCCAGATTCGACGTCGATAAATTGCAACATTAACAAAATTGCGATAAATTGCGATTTAATCGCATAACTTTGCAATGAAATCGCGATTTTATTGACAGATATTTGTAGCAATATTATCGAACGAAAAATCGTGAAAGATTGAGATAACATTTCGATTTTATCTAACGCGATTTTATACATATAAAACTGCGATAACAGTAAAGATAATCGCTCAGATGTTGATGACCCTTGCGATTTATCGCCAAAAAATAGTCAAAAAAATCGCACCGTAATTTCTAAATATCGCGATTTTTCGTTTAAAAATTCTACTTTGAGACCGGGATGGTCAAAGATTCATCGGTAAATGAGAAGTTTCAGTGAAAATCAGGAAATCTGCTCCAGTAACTAGAAATATCTTCTTCTGAAGTTCAAAGACTTACTTTTCTCCGTTAACGAAACAAAACATAAGACAATGGGCAACCAAGGCTAACAAACGACATATTTTTGGGCAACCAAGGCTAGTGAAAAAAACGCAAGGAAATGAGCATGTTGTTTTTCAGCCTCGTTTGCCCATTTTCTTCTGTTGTGTTCAGCTAAATTATTCGGGCTGTTCTGCCGTGCTAAGGGAAAACGCCGTATGAGCCTTGAGGCGTTGCCAAATTTACTTCAACAAAGCACGAAGACTGGGAGTTTAGGCTAAACTTCCCGCCAAGAACGATAATGAAAGTACCATACAATACAACTCTCTATTGATAATAATATTAATTAAAGAGCCAAAATGTTTTTTAGCCTGTATCATACGGTTGTTTCCAATTCGCCTTCAGTTGCGTCTGCAACAATTGTTGTTACGAATATGTTGTGCGTGCTGATCTCAGCTCATTACATACCTGACTCTCTGAAGGCGTTTAATGGGCGAAAGTAGAGAACCCTGTTGGAGAACAACAGAAGTGAATCGATCAATCCTTACTTCGTTGTTTCTCCGGTAGATTGCGCTACTTGCGCACATAAAACGCCTTCAGAAAGTCGAGTATGTAATGAACTAAAATCAGCACGCACAACATCTTCGTAACAACAATTGTTGCAGACGCAACTGAAGGCGAATTGCTTTCGCACATAAAACTCCTTCAGAGAGTCAAGCACGAAATGAGCTGAAATCTGAACGCACAACATATTCGTAGCAGTAATTCCTGCAGACGCAGCAGAGGGCGAATTGTTCAGTTAAAAAAAAAAGAGTATGACCTTTAGTCTGCCTATAACGAGAGGGTATATATTCGATCGACACGAATTGAAAGAAAATTAAAAACGTGAATCGATCAGCACCGATTCAAGGGACAAATAATTAAAAAAGCGGATCAAAAAGCGTAGAAAACTTGCATTAAGTATGAAAATTTCAAATTGCGATATCTCGAAATTAGGACCAGCCAAGATTTTGATTTTTCGCAATTTCAAGTCCTTTTGCACCACAGACTCACCCCCCGCAAACCGTTTTCGGGTACATTTTCGTAGCATTTTTTTTCTTTTTGCTTCAAGACCACTTGGTTCCTTTTTTCGTGAACGATCCAAATTTACGAGATAAAAATTTATGGCAGGTGCTGGACACTGACCCGCCGGATGATGTCCTCACGAAACCTTTGTACTACCACGACAAACGAATCTACGAGAAGAACCCATGCGAGCTCTACCAGGAGGATCTGAATTCGAGACCGAATGATCGGCGGAAGAAGGGCTGTCGTCATGCCGTTGACCACCTGAAGGAGAAACTCGACGAGGTCCCTTCGGACAAGTGCAAGAACATCGGAATAGGAAGATGCTTCGCTGTCGATGGCAAGCTAGGGCGCTGCTACGTCGAAGTCGATAGTGACAACAAGGATAACAGACACTTTGAGTTGATTAATAATTGTTAAAGTGATTCGTCAAGGCAGGCCCGCCACATCCCATCTCTTGCCCTGGTACCAATTTTCTGGCCCGGGCCCCTAGCACAGAGGGGGGTCCGGGGGGCCTCCCCCGGCAAATTTTTGAAATTATAAATCTATTTGGACGCATTTTGAAGCTCTTATGATGGAGATTTTCCATCAATTTCTGCAGAATAATTACGCTTTTTTTTACTTTCAGCACGAAACACTTTCGAATTGTTGCATTTAAAACATCCATAAAAATTTTTTTATGAGGGGAGCAGATGATACTTTTCAATTCTAGGGGGAGCCGAGCCCCCCTGGACTCCCCTTTCGTACGTCTATGGCGAGGGAGTTGAGCCATTGAAGTCGAGGATGCCCAGGCAGGAGCCTCTTAGCATCCGACAACGAAAGAAAATGAAACGCAGTTATTAAAAATATCATTCTACATATACTCAAAATCTTGAAAATAGATAGAAATCTCAAAAAAAGTAAGGAAAATTTTATAATGCCCTCGCGTGTTTTTGAATCTTTATTCACCTTTTGCGGAATTTTAAGGGTAATTTTTTCACTTTTCCTTACGAGACAAGGGTTACACATGAATTCGTGGTGGTTTGTCACCTGCGTCACGGGCCCCTCCAGCCCGGGCCCCAGTATCCCCCCCCCCCCTTGTGGCGGGCCTGCGTCAAGGTCTACCCGTAGGTAAAGGGCAATAGGAGCTGCGATTCAAAATACCAACGGAATTCTAATAGTCGGCTATAGAAGGCGATAGAAAATCATGGAGTTGGCTTTGGAGAGCGAAGAAATTATACAGCCGGGCTATACTGCCATGCTAAGGAAGTAGAGTACCTGTATAGCGAGAGCATGGACAGATGTGAAACTCCGAAAATCCATCAGACCTTCACCGATGCTTCTGCGAATGAAGTTAGGGCCCAAAAATGCAGCCAACCTATAAATTTCAATTACCCAGAACGATTAACTAATACTATCGTTAAGAACCGTCGTTTATAAAGCACGCATTTGACTCAGTTTTTGCATAAATTTACTCATTTTTGCGTAAGAACGCTCATTTCTGTACATTCCTGGCCATCTTGGTTAGAATTGGAATCTGCAGACTCTGCAGACTGGCAGTGAAATGTTGTGTGTCAGAAGTTCGTTAGAAGGATGGCTGCACTTTTGGGCCCTTATACCTCCATAAAGCGATCTGTCCATACTCTCGCTATACAGGCACTCTATAAGGAAGAACGCCGTATGAACCTCCAGGCGCTGCCAAATTTCTTCTGATAAAGTACGAATTTATTGGGGCAATTGTCAAAAATCCGCACAACCGTTTTCATGTACACCATTAAATTGCCCAATTAGATGTGGAAATCGCTGATGTGGCTTGGTTCCTTTCTGCTTTACGCGGTCCAGTTGAAGCGCTGGGCGCAGAAAGGGTATTTTTCAGTGGCGTGGCGTGCTTTTCGATATATCGATTGATCGGCCATTTAAACCTATGGAAAAGTATCGATAAACAAGGTGTTCGCAGCGAACACTATGATAATCGATTCTTTACCATAGCTTCAAACGGCGAGATATCGATAATCGATAATCGATCATTCACGCCACGCCACCGGTAATTTTTGGTTGCGGTGTCTCAGAATCTCCACTAACGTTTCATCCATTATAATTTGAGGAAATGTATGGAATTCGGTGAAACTTCTACTGAATTTTCTTCATGACTTTGCAATACTGAAAACAAAAATATTCAAAAAATGCATCCACTGGTTTCCTCTGCAAAATATAAATTAGCGGTGGAGATTCCAAAACACCGCGGCCGAGAAAAACACTATTTGCACCCAACTCCTCAACTATCGTATTGTACAATGTTATACAGTTTATCGCTGGCTAAAGTGCAAAACTTCGTATCATAACTGAGGCGTTTGAAAACGTCCACTTCTATTTTATTTTCTCGAGGAGCAACAACGCAAGCTTGAAATATTAACAGAATATTCTGCCAATGGCGGGAAAAAATCAAGGAAGTTCTCAATGAATTACGCCGACTAGTTTTGTAAGAAAACCATGAAGGGTAACGGGAAGTCTTCAACGTCGCCAACGGAGATATAGTTGGTTTCCCACAACGGAAAACCACTCAACGGCAATTCTTTAAAACTGCCGTGATTTTTCTTCTCTGTGCGAAGAAAATTCTGAAAAGCTTCAAGGAATGATGTCAATTTGTTCTCCTTTAAAAAAATAACAGATAGACGGAGATTTCCAGACAACGCCAACGAGATATGCGATTACGGACTTGCGCAGTCGAATAGCGAATGGACGAGAATTTGTGATACAACTATATCAACCTCGAAGTAGTCGCAATTGCATAGGCACAAAATAGAAGGCGAACTCAGTTCCTTACTCTTATTTTCGTTCGACTAGACACTTAAGTCAAGTTCAACAAAAACGCAACATGTCGCGCTTCCAAAAAAAACTAGTACGGAGTAATTTTGAATTCTTTCGGTCGTAAAATTTCCTCCGTTAAATACTCAAAATCGAGAAAAAATATTTTGAACGTGTATATAGTTGTCAGTATCCAACACTGGAAAAAAAAACCACATTGGATCTAGAGTCCAGACTCTTGAAAACATCGAGAAGAAAAAATACTCTTGATTCAATCTGATTTTTGCTTGAATCAAAACGAAATCTGCTTAAATTAAGAGGCTTGGTTCTTGATTTAAGCTAGATTCTGATAGAATCAAGAGTACTTTTTCTTGTCAATGTTTTTAAAAGTCTGGACTCTAGATCCAATGTGTTTTTTTCCAGTGAAGGTAATACAAGAATCTGATTCATAACGTATAGCTGCATCTCTACTGAGTAGAATGACATATTTTTGATGATTCATTGAAAACTCATACCCGGAACTACCACAACGGACGTCGCCCGTTCTGCCGTGCTAAGGAAAAACGCCGTATGGACCTTCAGGCGTTGCCAAATAGCCTTTGATAAAATACGAATTTCCTAGTAAACATATGAATAATTTTCTCCCAAATTTTCAGATAATTTTGTTCGCAATTTCACCTAAAGTTCCTGAAAATGTCAAGGAAAAATATTCATAACTTTCTTCTTTACTAAATGTTTTATCGGAGGAAATTTGGCACCTCTCGAATATTCATACGGCGTTTTTCCTCAGCACGGCAGTATAAAGCACAAATCGTAAAAGGAACGGGGAAACAATTTTTGAAAAGCTCGTTTCCACACCACCTTAGGATAGTCCGATCAGGTAAATGATACGGTACTGCTCCTGGAGGTAGAGCTTTAGGCGCGCTTTTTTTAACGTGGTATCGCCATGAGCCCTAATCCACGGGGGGGGGGGGGGGGGAAAAAAAAAAA